GAAGAAGAAGAAGAAGAAGAAGAAGAAGAAGAAGAAGAAGAAGAAGAAGAAGAAGAAGAAGAAGAAGAAGAAGAAGAAGAAGAAGAATCTTCTAAAGACTCTGGGTGTCAAATAATAAATTTTCTTCTTCCTCTTTAAACATGAATATTAAAATAATTACAGGTAGCTGTTGACTTAAAACCACCATTAGGACCAAAATTCTCAAGCCGCCTGATTTTGTGACATTTTCCTTCTATTTTTTTGGCCATGGTTGTTAAGCAAATTGGGGCCGTTGTTAAGTGAAGCACACAGCTGTTCAGAAAAATCTGGATTCTTCCAATGGAAGACAGCTGGGAAGGTCCCTGGTGCAACTATCATACGTACCGGTTCTCAAGTGCCTGAATTTTGATCACATGATCGGGGGGGGGGAATATTGTAACGGTCGTAAGTCCGAGGACTGGTCTTAAAGTCATTTTTTTTTCCCCCAGTGCCGTTGTAGCTTCAGACAGTCACTGAATGGATGGTTAAAAGCCGATGACTTCCTGAACAGCTATCAGACACTCACCGTTCTGGGGTGGTTTGGACCAGCCCGTTGTAAACCCTGGAGAGGTCCCGCAGGTTAAAGATATAGTGGAATTTCGAAGGTGTCGGCGGCAAGTCGTGGACGATGGTTTCATAAAGGGTCAGAGTGCAGGAGGTGATTTTGTCCGCAATGGCAGCAATGGACTCGTCGAAGGTCTGACGATAAAAAGCGGGGAAGATCATTTCATGGAAGGAAAAAGGAGAGAGAGAGACAACCGTAGAAAAATACCGCCGGTTTTGTGGTCTGTTTTCCCTTGCTTTCTATTTTTTTTTCTCCTTTCCACTTAATACAGGTAGTCCTGGACTCAAAATGGTTCATTTAGTGACCTTTCAAAGTTACAACGGCACTGAGAAAAGAAGATTGTTTGTCACGCTTATGACCGTTGCAGCATCCCTTGTCACGTGATCAAAATTCAGAAGCTCGGCAACTGGCATGTACTTATGGCGGTGGTGGTGTTTCCCGGGGTCACGTGATCCCCTTTTGGCGGCCTTCTGACAAGCAAAGTCAGTGGGGAGCCCAGGTTCACTTAACAACCAGGTTACTAATGTCAGGGCTCCGGCATCCACCCCCATTTAAATCATGAACCTCCAGCCGCAGAAGATTTATTAGGAGTGACCATGTCGGCGTTACCTGGGTGCAGCCGACTCTAAGATTCATTTCCCCCTTCTTCTCCGCACCCCCGGATGTATATTCTCCAGTGGGACACCTCCATAGCCAAGAGTCATCAGTAATAATCTTGCGTGCCAGAAGCTTCGGCTGCCTAGCAGTTATCTGAAGCATTTAAGGAATGCACTGCTTTCCCCCACTCCCTTTCTGCGGACAACTCAAAAGACCAAAGGAGTACCTTTTTGAGTTGACAACTAACGCATCAACTGCAGCAATTCACTTAACAACAGTGGCAAGAAAGGTCGTAAAACGGGGAGGGGGGGAAACTCACTCAACAAATGCCTGATCGAACACCAGAAATGTGGGCCTCCATTGTGGACATAAGCCAAGGACTACCTGTGACCCCATTTACACTGACTCCGTCTCTCCCTCCTCTCCCCACCGAGGAATCCCACGTACCGCCAAGTGCCCTTTCAAAATGGAGGCGTAAATCAAGTGCAGGGAGACCTCCGAAGGGAAGGGCACATTGAACACGCTGAAGAGGGAAATGAAGCGGGGGTCCACTTCGTTGCGGCCGCCACCGGCTTTGCCCATGGCGGCAATGAAGCCCAAGTCGCGGAGGTATTTGCAGTTCATCTCCTTCCCCCGGTCATACAAGGCGCCCTTCTCGAGCAGCAGTTTCAACAGAGCGATGGGCTGCTGGGTACCGTATTCGTCCACCTTGGTGGAAATGGAAAGGGGGAAAAAGCGAGGCTGAGAGACGGAGGCTTTAGATACTTCAGGTGAGGTTCACATGGTAAAACATAGAATGATAGGGCTGGAAGGGTGTGTCTTAGTCCTGCCTTCAGGTGCTCTGGAGAATAAGTCAATCTCTTCATTGTGACAGCCCCTCAAGCCTTGGAAGACTCAACCATAACAACACAAGAGCAAACAATGGATACAAACTCAAGGTAAACCGCAGCAAACTCGATTGCAGGAAATACGACTTCAGCCACAGAGTGGTCAATATCTGGAATTCGCTACCTGACTCTGTGGTTTCTTCCCCAAACCCCCAAAACTTTAATCTTGGACTGTCTACTATGGACCTCACCCCTTTCCTAAGAGGCCTGTAAGGGGCGTGCATAAGCGCACCAACGTGCCTACCGTCCCTCTCCTATTGTTTCTTTTATTTTTCTTTTATTTTTCTTATATGTCCCCATTTCATGTATTTATAACTATGTATATACTTATACCTATTATCTTGTAAGCAATTGACAAATCAAAATAAATAAATAAAATAAAAATAAAATAATTCAGGGTTAGGGGTGACATGATAGCAGTCTTCCAGTTAACATGAGGGGCTATCACAGAGAAGAAGGGATTGACTTAATTCTCCAAAGCATCTGAAGGCAGGACAAGAAGCAATGGGTGGAAGACAGAATAGAACAACAGAATTGGAAGGGACCTTGGAGGTCTTCTAGTCCAACCCCCTGCTTAGGCAGGAAACCCTACACACTACTTTAGACAAATGGATATCCAACATCTTTTTTAAAACTCCCACTGTTGCAGCATCTACAACTTCTGGAGGCAAGTTGTTCCACTGGTTAATTGTTTTAACTGTGGGGAAATTTCTCCTTAGTTCTAAATTGCTTCTCTCCTTGATTAACTTCCATCCGTTGCTTCTTGTCCTGCCTTCAGGTGCTTTGGAGAATAGCTTGACTCCCTCTTCTTTGGGGCAGCCCCTGAGATATTGGAAGACTGCTATCATGTCTTCCTTGGTCCTTCTCTTCATCAGACTAGACATACCCACTTATTCATAAAGCAAGCATTCTTTATATGTTTTAGCCTCCAGTCCCCTAATTATCTTTGTTGCTCTTCTCTGCACCCTTTCTAGATCCAACCTAGAAGGAGAAACGATAGCTGTGGAATTCCTTCTACGAGGCCATCTTTGTCCTTCTCTACTTCTCCCAAGTGACTCTTAAATGACTTTTCCCCTTCTTAACTTTTAGGACTTTTCCTCTTTCTTTAACTTTGTAGAAGAAGGAGGTGTCGACGGGCACTGATATGACAGGCCAAGCAGAACCGACACAAATGGAGGCCAATCTGGTTGGTTTTTTTTTTGAGGACTACTTGTGAAGGGTTTGACGATGTTCTTCCATGTTCAGCTCTGTCCCCTGGAGTCCTTACCCGAGGCATGTTCATGTCGTCCATAAAGACCAGGAGCCGTTTTCCCATGGGAGGCCCGTAGGTTTCTTTGGTCCGCTTCTCCACGTTGGCTTCCATGTTCCTCTGAATGTCCATGGAAGTGGTGCGAGAAGAGAAGTTGATGACCAGCAGAACCTGGTTGGGACAGACCCAAAATTATTGCCAGAAATAAAAGCTGGCGAGGGAGGCAACCTGGCTTGATTTGGGGGTGTCGGTGAGATGCAGTCTGGATTCCCAAGAAAGAGGGAAGGGGGACCAAGAGACAACAAAGTTTGGACAGTTTGGTTGGGAGGAAGAGAGTTTAGACGGCTCCTCCCTGGAAGTGCTCAGAGTAGACCTTTCATGATGCAAGTCGTCTGCTTTGGTTTGGAAATATTTCCGTCTACAGGTGAGAGGAAATTGCTCAGAAGGAATGTGTCTTTCTTGGTACTTTGGGGTTTTACAATAGAGGAAGGTCTGTAGAGAGTCTCAGTCATCCAGGTCATATTTGCCCCAAAGGTTGTCCTTTGGAACAACCATGACCTGGATGACTGAGAATATCTTACACACTTTAACTATACAATTTGGGATGAACACCCTTTGAATGGTGTGGGAGTAGGAATGGATTTCCAGAGGGAAAAAGTACAGACTCAGGTGACTCTGAGGACACAGATAAACCTCCAAGGGGCCTCAATGACCCTCTGAAAGGATGCCAATGACCAGCTGTCTGCAAGGAATATAAATCCTCCCATTCCCCACCATCCAGTCAGAGCTGAAGAAGCTCCTTGGATGGGAAGCAAAATGTCTTCAAAGAAGAACAAGGAAGTCCAGTTGCCCCTTGGAAAAAAAGCACCTTTGGGTTACAGTAGAGGAGCAACCAGGGCATGGAAGAATGGCCCAGTAGGCAGGAGGATGGAGTCCCGGTCCAGAACCCGACAGCCTTACGTTTGTGTCTGGGTTCAGCTTCCGGAGCAAGTTCTGCGTCGTGGCCGTTTTGGAGGTCCCCGACTCTCCCACCAGAACCATCGGGCGCTTGATCTTCAACATCTTCTCCAGCAGCCAAGTGGTGCGGGTGGTGTCCACAGTTGGAACTGAAGGAGGAACCAGGGAAAGGAGCATCCCTCAGAAATCAGTCTGGAGACCCAAGCCGCTTCACAGAGAGGGCGTCCGACTGATCCTTTGCACCCCAGAGCGGCCCCCACCCCATTACGGCTCGAGCCCTGGGTGTGCTTTATGCGTCTCTCCTGAAAACGGCGCTTAATTTGTAATATTCGTGGAAGCAAAGGAGGGGGTCATTGTATTACATGCGATTTATTTAAGTTTAATTTACTTTTTTTTCTGACCCCATTTTGCTCACTGGAAATCCAGCTCTTGCTACCTTTATTGAAGGCCGAAAGGGCACTTAGCCCTATTCCAACAACCTGTAGAATCTGAGAAGGATGGAAAGTCTAGAAATCGGGTCTAAGGAGCCAGGGTAAAAATATCGGAGACCGTCAGTTCAAATCCTGATTTATCCATGAAAGACAGCTGGGTGACTTTGGGACAATGACTAGGAGACTGTGAGACAATCCCTTTCTCTCAGCCCAACAGGATTGTTGTTGTGAGGAAAACAGCTGGATAGGTTTGCTGCCTTGCAGAGTTTGTAAAAATAATAAGGGTGGAGGGGACGACGTACAAACTGATAAAGAATGCCTGAAAATACGTCGCTTTGGAAAGCACCCGTCGAAACTGCGACTCTCGAGCGTTAACCGATGACACTCCTACCAAACGGTGCTCAGTTTGTTTCCCTCTTACCTAGGATGTCGATAAATCTCACTTCAGGAGTGTGGCGATACTGAGCAACCAGGCTGCTCCACGGCACCCACCTTCTCCCGTCAAAGTGGAAATCGTACAAGGTGGGGAGCTGCCCTGTGGGAGAGAGCAATTGGGACACCTCAGAACAATGGGGGGTGGAAGAGAAGCTTATTGAATGGCCACCTGGAGCACCCGAAACAGGGCTGATGTTCCTTCAACTTCCTTCAGAACAAAGTGGGAGGAGGAGGAGGAGGAGGAGGAGGAGGAGGAGAAGAAGAGGAGGAAGAGGAGGAGGAAGGAGGAGGAGGAGGAGGAGGAGGAGGAGAAGGAGAAGGAGAAGGAGAGGAGGAAGAGGAAGAGGAAGGAGGAGGAGTAGGAGAAGAAGGAGAAGAAGAAGAAGAAGAAGAGGAGGAGGAGGAGGAGGAGGAAGGAGGAGGAGGAGGAGAAGAAGGAGAAGAAAAAGAAGAAGAAGAAGAAGAGGAGGAGGAGGGAGGAGGAGGAGGAGGAGGAAGAGGAGGAGGAGGAGGAGGAGGAAGAGGAGGAGGAGGAGGAGAAGAGGAAGAGGAGGAGGAGGAGGAAGAGGAGGAGGAGGAGGAGGAAGAGGAGGAGGAGATGGAGATGGGGAAGAGGGAGAGGGAGAGGGAGGAGGAGGAGGAGAAGTATTCTTCTGACCTCGAAAACCAACCTGGCAATTCTCCTGGCTTTGCTAAAACCGTCTCGTCGTTGACTGTTGACATGGAAGAGATGCGCTTAATAAAGTCATCAAATTTGCCCCTTCCCGCTTCAAGGAGACTGGCTCCTAAGGAGCAGTAAAGGGCTTCTAGGAAGTAGCATTCAAGCACATCGGGGTCCTCCACTTCAGCCTCGATCAGAGCATCGAGCATCATGCTCAGCTGAGTCACCTGTGGGAGGAAACCCCAGAGCAGAAAAAAAAAAAAACCCACATCATCGGGCTGGCCATGAAAAGCAGGCCCGGTTCTTTTTTTTGTGTTTTCCCCTTTCACGAAAACAAAAATCCGATTATTTACCATGTTCAGATCCGTCTGCGGGACAATCATCTTCATTTTTTCCCCTTGCCGTCCATCCACAATCCCTTCGACGATCATTTCGATCAAAAAAGGCACGTATTTGTCAAAGAGCCTGTCCAACAGTTGTTTCTCTTGCTGGAAAAATAAAAGTTATTCCAAGTTAGAAGAACAAGTCCTCCCCGTTCTTCTTCCTCCTCCTCTTGGGAGCGTCGCCTCGGGCACCGATTTGGGAGAACATCACAAAGGACCACAACTCTTGAACAAACAAACGAAGCTCGAGCTGGAAACTTACGAGAAACAAGAGCTATCATACAGTACGACTCATACAAATGTTCTTTCTTTTGTTTAAAGTGTCTTCACTTATGCTTGTCCAGACACATGGAAGAACCCACTACCAGTCGTGGTCTTCAGAAGAAGTTCCAAGGTCATCGTTAGTTGTTCTTTACCTTGCTTCTTTCTTTTGTCCATTTATCCCAATAAGGTCTGTATCTCAAATTCTTCGGGTCTACAAAGACCATCCCACAACGTGATACAGTGGCTGGGGAAGCGTATTGTAGGTCGCCAACCTGTAAGGAAGGTTAAAAGAAGCTCCAAGACCGGATAGTGGCTAGAGGGATGTCCTGCTGGGTTGGAAATGGGTGAGGCTCCTTCCGAAGAAAGGAGGAAGCTCAAAGTCATTGGCATCGTGAGACCAGCCTGACCTCAAACAGAAGAGCACAATGGGCTTGAAGCCGGATACGCTCCCCGTTGGCCAGAGTCAACAGCTTGTTGTCATCCATCACAGAATTCATGTTTTCTACCCAGAGAGCATCGACGTCGCCATCAAATAATATGTACCTGTGCATACAGATTGAGAAGAAAAATAAATGCACCGAAGACCAACAACTCTTATTCCATTTCATAAAGTGAGCTTCACCGGGTCAATGGAGGTTGATAGGGAATAAGTGGAAAGAAACTTAGGGGAGCAGAGAGAAAGCTTCCAAAAATGGGATAGTGTCAACTCATAAAATATTTCTATGGTCTTTTTAGAGTTGCCAATAGAAAGCGGGGGGAGCAGTGCAGCAGCTTGGAAATCGAAAGCGCATTCCATAAATAGTTTTCAAAGATAGTAACTAGGTGACTGAAGTTTCTTCTGCGCAAAATTCTAACTAGAAAATATGATTGATGACTCTTGGCTATGGATGTGTCCCATTGGAGAATATGAATTATCATACATCCGGGGGAGTGGGGAAACCAGGGTCAAGGTGTGCTTGCTTCTTAACCTGCCTGTCTCAAAGGGCCAAATGTTTGACCCACAAGCCCATATCTCCCCTTCTCTTCTCCCCCCCACCCCAAAATCCAAAAGTAAAATAAAACAGAGCATAACGAATTTTTTAACAATCATGAAACGGAGTGGCTGGTCAAGGAATCCAAAGATTTTCCCAGTTGCAAAAACATAGATGCAGGATCCATTTACCGTCTCTCTTTTTTGTCGGTGGGTTTGTTGATTTCCCGGAAGATGTTGGACAAAACGCCATCGGTCCAGTCTCGTGTGGTGGGATCGAGGATGCCGTACAATTCGATCACACTCATGGCTTTGGGGTTCAGGATGTGCAGCTTGGTCAGCAGGCCTAATCTAATGAGGTTATCGATTACGAAAAGAAGAATTGGGTCAATGGCATTCCCGTGGGGACCGCCCAAAAAGGCTCGGATACGAAATCCTGTCCTGTCTCGGATGTGCCAACTCAGAATGAAGCTCATTGCTAAAAAGGGTGCCCCATTTCCCACACTGGATAACAAAGACCACCACAAAATTCACAGGCATGAAAAGGGAGAAATCACCCTGCCCGTGATAAGGCGGCTGATATTCAGGGATGTGATATTTCTGATATTTCTGGATTATCGTTAATTCAGAAACATATTTTCTATGAATTTGTAGGTACAGCCCAATTCACTTTTGACTCCTGCTCACATCCGCTTCGTTAAACTATGGAGTGGTGGTTGGAAAAAAAAAAAAAGTAATCACATCCCCGATTTCCAGGCTCCGAAAACCAAAAAAGGCACAGTGAGACCCTTCCAAGCGGCTTCCGTTATGGTCCCTCACAACCCAGCAGAAATCTTGCCCAACTCAAGTGGGCTACTGGCACTGTAAAACATATACTCTGGGAACTATCAGGAAGGAGCTGTCTTCACCTGCTTCCTCTTCCACAAACTATACTGAGTCGCCTCTTACTTTCAGCCCCTCCCCCCCAGGAATCCAGGCCACGTTCCAACAACACTGATTGATTTGTGCTTACTTTGTCTGAGCGTGACACAAGGCGTTGATGACCACTGACTTGCCACCTCCGGTTGGCCCTACCACCATTGTGGTGTGTCGTGTTAGCATTGTTTCATACATTTGGACCACTTTATCCACCTGCGGGGAGGAAAAAAAAATACCCCAATGGCAGCCATCTTGACTGGAATTATAAACCCCTTCATGGAACTGACATTCATTGATCGTTTAAATCAGGAGTCTCCAATCTTGTCCACTGTAAGACATGTGGACTTCAACTCCCAGAATGCCTCAGCCTGAGGCATTCTGGGAGTTGAAGTCCACAAGCCTTACAGTCGCCAAGGTTGGAAAACCCTAATCTAAAATGATCATCTTCCCAATTTCAGACAACTGCATTATGGCTTGATGAAGCTTTTTCAGACAAGCTTCATGAAGGCCAAATGATCTGACTGTATTTTGGCCATCTCTTTGATCTTAGTGACTTTCCTTTAATACCTGAACAGGTAGAACCATGTAACCTTCTTCAGCCAGTACTTGTTCCACCGCATCGTTGAATTTGGGATAGCGGACACGGGGGCAATCCAGTCCAGGGAAGAGATCGGAGATCAAGCCGAGGAAAAGAGGAACATCTTCAAAGACAAACTTGGGGAGGTTCATATCTCGCAGGGCTCTCATGAGGACCACATCCTAGAGTGGGTTTGAAACCCAAGGAAACATTAAAAACGTTGGTGAGCGGAGTTGACTTCCTTGAATAGACTTTCCCTGTTAAAAACGAACCCTCCCCAAAAGAGAAGGCCTCTCACCGTTTATAATTCATCTCAAGATGACCAGAGGGGTTAAAACTTAATGAAATCAGCACCCTCCTGAAAGGCCATTTAATTATACCAATGAATTTGTAGATTAAGGAATTCTAGCCATGGACTCCTCTTAAATCAGTGTTAAAATTTAGGGATTTAGAAGGACACATCAATACATGGCTATAATATTAATTGAGGATGGTGTTATAAATCCTGGTGTACTTAAAATCCGGATCGTTGTTCTATTTTTATTTACGCGCTTTTGGTGAATAAAGAGGGTGAGGTAGTTGGAGATCCACTTTGTTGGAATAAGGAAAGCACTTGACATATCAAGGTTAGGTTAACGTCGTTTTCTGGTCCTGTTTAAAAGCCATTGGCCACGGTGGTTGGGGAGCTCATTTCTGGGTGATTTTTATGGTAGGTCTTTCGATAAGTTCAGACAGGGAAGAAATGCTGGTCTGGGGTAGCTGTTTTGCTCCTGGAATCCAAAGCTCTCACCCTTGATTTTTCAAGGTGTCACAAATCCCTTGGTTGATCTACCTGTGGAAATAAGTTTACCTCGGGGAGATCTGAAGACCCTCTTTTCAGCTCTCCGGCCATGACCAGGACAGACTTCAGAGCCCGAAGCCCAAAATCGTAGTGATGCTGTTTAGAAAGCTGTTCTCTTGCCAACTTGTACAGCACAGTCATCTTCTTGGCTAGCACCTATTGGACATTTATCCTAATTTAATATTTTATCTCCTATATTGTATTGTCCACATTTCTCTCTCTCTCTCTCTCTCACACACACACACACACTTGCCGACACTTTATTTAAAATAAATTTGTATATCAGTTGTTGCACGACCTCATGCTATACACTACATAAATAAACAAATCCATTGGACAAAATCAACAGGAAATGCCCTTGCACAGAAAGCTCTCGATGTACAACAGTCCACTTAATGTTTTGGTTCGCCTGTGCAGATGGCAGCGGAGTCGGACAGTGAGGAAGAATGGGGACCAGTCAGGGAGTCTGGGGAGGATTTGGATGAGGGTCCTGCATCTGATGCAGAGATGGGACCAGGGCCATCTGGGAGTGGGGTGCTGACTCTGGAGCCTCCGGAGTCTGGCAGCAGCGAGGAAGAGGAACGAAGGGAGCCTGTTCCCAGTGTGCATATGCACAGAATTGCCAGAAGGCAAGAGCAGCTGAGACAAAAGGGGCAACTCGGGGATAAGGCTGGGAGGTGATTGCCCCTCCCATAAGGGATAAAGAACAGGCAAAGGTGAAGAAACCTTTGCAGGAAGCAAAGTCGTTTGTTCGGTTCAAGATTCATTCTTGAAGCTCTTTGTACTTCGGTTGGTTGTTCTTGTACTTCAGTTGGTTTCTTTCCTAGTAAACTGAATACTTCTGGTTTTGGCAGCATCTCGGAGAACTGAAACGTGGGTGCTTATCTCAGGGAATTGTTTGAGATTAATTCTGGCTGGGAATGAAAACAATTCCCAGCATTGCAATAAAATATGTTTTGTTTTTAAAACAAGTTTGTGAATAATTACGGTTTACAAAGCCTGGGTCAGAACAACACCCATCCATTTGCGATGACCCTGCGACCCACCTTCGCCAGGAGAAACCCCTCGGAGAACAGCATAATTTCGCAAATCTGCTGCAGGTCAGGGACGATGACCACCACTGGTCTGAAAAGGGCCTTTACGGATTCAGGGAGCTCCGTTCGTCCCGCGTAGCCAGGATTCATGGTGATGAAAATGCCCATCCGAGGGTCCAGTGCGATTTCTTGCCCTTCAAACTGAAATGTGGTACTTTGGCCGAGGGTCCCAAAGAACCCCGGATCTGGGTGTGTGTGTGTGTGTGTGGATTAGGGGCCAGAATTTCAAGCAAGGGATTTTTTTATTTTTTACCTCTTTACCTGAAATGTTTTCAGCTGGTTCATGAGGGCGTTTCGGATCGTCTGAATCTGGGAGGAGATGACTGAGAGGACGGAAGCATCGATCCGGTTGAATTCATCAAAGCAGCCCCACGCTCCACACTGGGCGAGGCCCGAGAAGATTTTGCCCACAGCCTACAGAAAGACGAGGGACTGAAGATGAGGTGTCGGTCATCCGAGTCACGGTTTGCCCCAAAGGTGCTTTCTTCAAAAGGCAACTGGGCTTTCTTGGTTTCTCCTTGAAGAGGTTTCGCTTATCATCCCAAGAAGCTTCTGCAGTTCTACAGAACAGTGGGGAATTCAGAATTCTTCACTCAGAACTAAAGAAGCTTCTTGGGAAGAGAAGTGAAACCTCTTCAAGGAAAAACCAAGGAAGTCCAGTTGCCTTTTGAAGAAAGCACCTTTAGGTTAACCAGAGATGGTTGCACATTGGTTTTTGGTTGGCCAGCAGACTGAATTCTTAAGGCCACAGCATAGAAAATGGAGAAGGGGAGATTCCTGACCTTGAAGTCCATGCCTTCTCCACAGTTGGTGACCACACAAAGCAAGCCCAAAGCTTTGGCGAGATCCTTCGTTGTCTCGGTCTTTCCAGTTCCTGCTGGACCCGCAGGAGCTCCACCCAAGTACATAGACAAGGCCTTTGAACGGGGAAAGAAGTTGAAAAACATGACGAGGACAGTGGCTGTTGATTCTGCCTCAGCAGGACTTTGATCCTGACCCAGGAAGCCATCACTTGGTTCATCTCGAAAGCAAGTTCCTTGTTGAGTTGTGGCTCCTGCCCTCAAAGGATCCGATCACCCCAACTTTGCAGCCTTAAAATCTGGGTTTTCTCCTAACTTCTGGGATGGTGGTCTGTCTACAAGACTGCATTATTGTTTTTAACTGCAATGGGTTATTCCTCCCATTAAGCAACTTTATGGTTTCTTATTGTTTGGGGTAGAGAGCTGTTTTTTATTTTAACCAAACTCAAGTGATGAGATGGCTTGCATATCAGAATTGTAAATAAGGATGAGAAGAAGAATTAAAAGTGGGATACTGAAGGAAGACGTATTCTGGTGCGTTTAGAGCCTCTGAATTCAAGATCTGCTTTTTTTAAAAAAAAAAAATAAGGGGCATTCCGGAGTCAGAAGCCAATGGAAGGTCTCCTTGTTGGTTTACCTGTGTGAGCGTCAGGTATATCCGGTCTGTGAGGGGAGTGATGACCAGGCGCCCGTTTAAGCCCATGTATTCGTAGCCGTAAGAAAAGGTCCCGGTGCATTGCCGTACGTTGAGCTCGTCAGGCTCGCGGTCCCAGTAAAATCGCAACTGGCTCTCCCACTCAAATTCTCGGGCTTCCATGATGCTGACAAGAAAGGATTGGAACACGGTCAGAGAGCCCTTTCAAGACTGAGATGAAGAAAACTAACCAGGCAAATGTTGAGAAGAAGAACAGAGGTAGAGGTGCTCCAAATTCATTATTTTTAACAGTGTAAGTAGGTTTACAGACAGTCCTTGACGTGCGACAACAATTGGAAACAGAACTCTTGGTTACTAAGCATGACCGCATCGCTTTGGGACGGCTGCCCCTGCGGTCCCAGTTACTGTTGCATTAGGTGAGGCGATTTACCTGTCTCGTACAAAGGTATCAACAATATCCCTCGCATGGACGTCAATGATGAGAACAGTGTTGTATTTCTTCCTGTCGTTCTTGCTTAGCGGCTTGGTGATCCGGGTCACCAGCGAGTCAATCTGCTGGTGCATTTTCTTGGCGTAGATCTTCATGGCTTGTTTCTCTCCTTTCTTGACCTTCCGGAAGACGTCTTCGACCTCCCAGGTCCACCACACCTGGTTGGCTGCCAGCACCATCATCCCCTGATACATCAGCATCCAATCAACTCTGCGGAAAAAGGCGGATTTGCAAGGGTGGCAGAGATAAAGATATTTTGCTTCGTCTCAACGTTTGGAGCTGTAGACATGCGAGCATTAAGAGGTAGTGTAAAATAATAATAAGAGAACGAATAAGAAGAAGAACTTGTTTGCTTCTGGAACAATGGATTGAGCCAAGTGTTCTCTCTTAGTTCAGAGGTCTCCAAACTTGGCCAACTGAGGAATTATGGAAACTGAAGTCCACAATTTAGACTAAAAAGTATGAATTGAAGTCTCAAAGCAGTTAAGTTTGGAGACTCCTGATCTAAACTGATAATAGATAACATAGACTGAAGTTTAGAGAGCAGGCTAAGAACCCCGTCTTTGCATTGCTGCAGTTTTATAGAGTTCTTGGAGCACCAACAATACTGGTGGTCCTGGAGAACCCCGCTCTCCCTCACCTGCTTCGGTCCTCGCAATACCGAAAGATGGCTTCCTTGGTGATCAGCCTGTTCGTCCTCCGCATTTCGATCAGCACCGCCGTCATCCAGTTTTCAACTCTGCCTTCCGCCGGGATGGCTTTCCGGAACTCCATCACTTCATTTTCTGCGGAAATCATGGCAGTGGCGATCTTCATCCCACTGTCGTCCTCGTGAAACTTCAGGGCAGCGATGTTGTCGTACATCTGAAACAAGACCAGGAGGAAAGGCGATCGAACCGGGCGAAGGAAGCTACCAGCAGTGGCCCAAAGGGAGAAGGTGAATTTAATTCTTCTGGGGATTTCCCCATCACCGCCTACCTTGATCATGTGCTCTTGAACGCACAAGGGGTCACTGCTTCCGAGGATGCTGAGCAGCTCGTCGTCCGAGATGAAGAAGAAACGCGGGAAAGCGTTCCTCTTGGAATCCAGATAATCGTTCAAACTCTTCTGGCACTTTTCCAGCCCATCGCTTATGTTCTGAAGGTCGCTAAGACGGTTGTGAGCTTCGCAGCACCTCTTGATCACCGGATCTTTGACCGTTTCTCCCATGATCTGCAGAGATCGGGAGGAGGGGGAGGAAGAGGCTGAAAAGCCACCAGGGAGTAATCCCGTGAATGATAATAATATACGCCTCTTCCCTTAAGGTCTCCCAAAGCAGAACAAAAAACAGATCAACGTTATACTATAAAAAGGGAATACGAAAGTTTACAGAAACTGTTCATGAAACACAAGCCAAAAGACTATATTTAAATTAAATTTAAAAAACCCCAAACATAACACACACACACGGAGCCCAAGAATAAGGTATTAAGGAGAGAGAGAGAGAGAGAGAGAAGGGAGGCAGAGAGAGGGGGGGAGGGAGGGAGGGAGAGAGAGAGAGATTGATTTTCAATGAAACATGTGAAAGGCTCACATATTTGGGACCATTCGAGTTTCATAAGTCTGTTTGATAGTTTCCTTTGAGTTCTGGAGCAATGGTGTGCTAGCCCACTCTTGGAACTACATGATATTTCTTGGCGGCCTTTTTGGTGACCATCTCAATCTTGTTAGTCTACTCAGAAGGTTCTGCCTGGAGACATTTAGATTTTTCTAGACTTCAATCAATATCTTGACTTGGGCCCTACATACTTGAGGAAGCCTGCTCAACGCTTAAATAGTCATCCAGAAGGACTTTCTCATTTCGAGAGCCAACGCACATCATTCCCTCATACTGGGTCTCCCCAACAACACACAATTTAGTTACTTGCCCTTTTGAAGACCCTATCTATGTTGTCAAATTTTTTGGCTTCCTCAGGCAGCTGGGATCTGATGTCACCCCCGATGAAGATGCTTTCCAGATACATCCATTTCCGCTGAACGATCATCCAGATCTAGACAGAGGAAATGCAGCGTTGACCAAGGGCAGGGAGGCGAGCGAAAGGTAAATCACCTTTCCACCTGTCCACTTGGAGCGCCAGCCTCCCTACCTCAATCACTTCACCAATCAAAGAGAGGGTTTTCTCCCAGTTGTGGACAGTGCCCAAAAAGGGTGCCACAAATCGACTTCCGGAAATACTTTGAAGGTTGACGGCATTGTCGTCCAGGATCTGAATGATCTCATCGACGGATCCCAAAATGAAGCCGCGTTCTTGAGTCCCTTTGAAGTACCGTTGGACGGTAAATTTCATGTTCTCCCACGTTTCAATGATTTCCTTCACTCCCTAGGAGAGGAAACAAGGGAGGTTCTAAGAACTTGCCCCTGGTCGTTACTAGACACGACCAAAACACGGGAGAAGAACACCTGACCTTCTCGATGCTCAGCTCTTTGACGGCAGACCCCACAATCTCGTTGATTACGTCGGAATATTTGTGCAGTTGCATGGCAAACATGTTCTCCAAGGTGAAGGTTTCGGTGGCCATGTCGAAACTGGTGCCTGTCCTGCTCATCAGCTCCTTCCAGTGCCTGAAAGAAGAAGAGAAGTCAACACAGGCCAAGGGTAGATTGAAGTGAACCAAAGTGATTTGTGTTTTAGGGGTCTGGGGGCTAAAACATATGAAAAACGGCTGCAGGGATATTCTTTTAATATTTGAGGGGCTGCCCCAAAGAAGAGAGGGTCAATCTATTCTCAAAGGGACCTGAGGGCAGGACAAGAAGCAATGGACGGAGACTAACCAAGGAGAGAAGCAATCTAGAACTAAGGAGAAACTTCCTGAACAATCAAGTCGAACGAAGTTGTGGGTCCTCCATCAATGGAGACTTTAAAGAAAAGATTGGACAGCCATTTGTCCAAAATGGTAGAGGGTCTCCTGTGTGTTCAGGGGGTTGGACTAGAAGACCTCCAAGGTGCCTTCCAACTCTGTTCTTCTGTTTGGCTTTTAAAGAGAGAAGATGGGAGAAGAAATTCATTCTGATTTTATGGATTTCACCCAGGCCATGCTTCCTGAGCTGTACGTGACTTAAAATGTCCGGGTTTAATGACAACCTTCATGGTTATGAAGAGCCCCCCCATGGATGAGGAGAAGCCAAACCTCTCTCGTAAGGCTTCATTCTTCAAATCCAGCAGCAAAGGAATGGATTCCTTGAAAGCTTTCATCTTCATTTCCAGGTGATAGGCCACCGGCATGCTACGCACGTGTTTTGGCAACTTGCGAAGGGTTTTGAGATACCCTTCAATTCCTTCCTGCAACACCTGGACATTAAGATTCACCCAGAGGGTCTGGGACCATTCCTCTTTGGCAGCCTAGGAACCCGGAAAAGTCTTGTAAGAACATCTTCAACTTGGCAAAGAGATCAAAGAGAAGATCATCAGCTCAAGAACACCGGACCTCCCAAATACAGATTCTTGGAGGCCACAGGCTATCTTCTCATTCGTCTGAATGAATAGCACAAGGATAATCCGAAAGAGTAGACCACCATGGACAAGTATTGGCAGGTAACACACAAAACTCAAAATTTGATTGACGACATGAGGTCTGGGGTCCAAAACTCTGAATAAAAAATGGACCGATTTTCGAAAACCACCTACCTGCTGCAGCTTATAGATTTCGTAGATCTGCCTGAGGCCTTTCATTTCTTTTTGGATTTTGATCATGTCAGGATACATTGTGATGGGCAGGTCAAAGAGTTTTTCGGCGTTGGCTAATTCTTGACGATTCCTCTCGTGTTTCTCCAATTCTCTTTCAAAAACCACCATCAACTCCAACCCTGCAGGGGACAAATAAATTCAGAACCGAATCCAGAAGGGTGGGAAACCTCAAGAAGAATTTGAAAGGGGGCAAGAGAGGTCTATAAGATCCGTGACTAGCCTTAATGGAGCCAAGAAGTCACAACATCTCGGCGAGAATATCACCCAAAGCATAGCAAGCTATGTTTGTCTTAGGGAATGTTTGTCTAAACATCTGTCTGAATTCCATGCCATGTTCAAGAATTTTCCACCCCAAACCTCCCCTTGAAAAAACACCAGAAAATAAAGATAGGCAATTATACGTCGTTAATATAGAGGACATAAATAGAATGGAACTGGCAGAAGCTTCTAACCCAACGAAGCGTCTCTTCGATGTTCTTTGGGAGCTAAAAAGGAAGATCTGTCCAAGAAGTAAAAAGAGACCCTGTTTTTAACAATCTTGCTTCTCAGCATATCTCCTAAAGGGTCTTCTGCAGCTACCATGCCACCAGGTTCCATAGAACTTGAAGAAAACATGACCAGGACGATGGAAAATTGGACAAACGAGACCGGAGGTAGGAAGGAGCATCCGGTCAAACATGGAGGTGGTGGTTGCATTCTCTCCCAAACAAGAATCTTAAGACCCAAGACCTTTGATCTACCTCAGTGTTTCCACCCTGCTTTCCAGCTATCTGGGGTCAGAAGCAGCAGGTTCTCCCTTACCTCTATCAAGATTTTCACCGACAGAACCGGGTCCCTCGGTAACAAACCGTTGGTAGAAGTCGTCGATCTCCTTGCTGTAATTTCCAATCTGCTCCCTTGTGATCTAGGAGGCATAATTCCCGGTTAGAAGGCCAGTCCAGCTTCTGAACACTCTTCTCCTTTGTGTCACAAATGCGACAACCCCCATACCTCCGTAAAAGTCTTCTTGATGCTGCCCAGGCTGTGATCAACTCCGGCCGCATCAGCATAAAGAGTTTCCCACATCAGCTTCATCTTATCCACCAGGTTCTTTTCTTCTTCTGTTATCTGGAGAGGAGGAACGAGAAGATTTCTTGAGAAGGCTCAGAGATTTAAGTTATTTAGGGAAAACATGTGGGATTATTTGGGATGCTGAGGATTCTCCCGAGAGCATCCTTTAAAATTAGCTAGCCAGGTCCTAAAGGCCACTCAACCCCACCAATTTTTCCCTACATCCATGCTGGACCGTAACCTGGTAGGTATCTCAGCATCTTTGACAATGAAACTTACAGCAATGTTGTACATGCCCAAGGTCCGATATCTCTCTTGAATATCCAAATACTTGAGTTCCACTTCTAGAGATATCTGTTTGATCTCGGCTATTGTGCCCAGGACAAATTTGAGATCTTCCAAGGTATTGGGGGTCGTTTTCAAATTGTGCGACAATCTCTGGAAAGCATATTCATTTACTCATTAATTCACTCAAACGTTGCAAAGGACCATTGGGCTAAAACTACTGTCCAGACTCCATCAGCATGTTTTTTTAACTCAGAGGACTGTTAGGAAGGAATTAAAGTGTCGGTCTTCAAGAACTTGGAGTGCAAGACATTATTTATGGGATGATGTCCTACATGCCTTGAAAATTGCCTTGGACTAGTTGGGGGTCAACATTAATTTGTGCCTAGAGCAGAGGTGTCCAACTTTAGCAATTTAAAAACTTCTGGACTTCAAATTCCAGAATTCCCTAACCATTCTGGGAGTTGAAGTCCACAGGTCTCAAATTCACCAAGGTTGGACACCCCTGGCTTAGATCCTGGACTCGAAAGAAAGTTCTCTTTGATCTTTTTCACCAACCATTCCTCTGTCCTCTCCAGGGAGTTCTAGGAATTGAATTCTGGCAACTGAAGACCACAGGACTTAAAATCACCAAGGTTGGACATCCCTGGCCTAGATCTTGGTCTCAAAAGATAAGATACATTTGATCTTTTCTCCATCTGTCCTCTCCCAAGTATGGTAGGACCAAAGTGAGCATCCCCAGCTGGAGAAAACTTACCTCAATGTTTTCTTGGAGACTATACAGCACCTCTTTGGCTGACTCGTTGAGTAGCCTCCCAAGGGAAGTGATCCAACCTCTGGCATTCTCCTGGACTGTGAAGGCCAACGGGGCCAGCAACAGGCGGATGCATTGCTCATCTTTGACCATGGGCTGTTGCATGACTTCCTGGGCCACCTTCATGTAGAACTGCAGCTTCTCGTCAAAAACCACGCAAGGCGGCTTCTTGGCAGCAAACTTCTCCATGACGATGGCCTTGTCCAGTTTCCAGAGGGGCCGATACCGCTTCCAACGGTTGAGGTATTTGGTGAGAGAAGCCAGGAGCTTGTGCATGTTCTGCGTGATCAGGATGGCCTGTTCGATGACTGTTGGGTTCTGGGAGATGTCGCTGAAGAAGCTGAAGATGACCGGTTCATCGTCCCCTGTTTGCTGAGGTGGGCACTCGATGCAACTGCCGTGCAACCAGCGAATAAAAAGCTGCACGGAGAGAAAGGAAGATTCTTGAGCTAAGCTTTGCAGGAAGGGGAAGAGGCACAGTGCTCACGTCACCAATAGTTAACAAATCTGCCAGTTTGGAGAAAAAAACAAGGGATGGGTGGAAAGTGAAAGTCCAGCTGAAAAGAGGCGGCCAAGTCGGTCTATAAATTGGACCTAGTCTTGAAACACCATTTCAGGCTTCAACTGGCAAACAGGACTGGAGGCCAACAAGAATCCAAGACCCCTGTGTAAGTATTCACTGAAGAAAAGGTTAGAAAGCCATAAGGAATTATTTCTTTTTTTCATTTGTATTTTTATTTTTTTAATAATACATTTTTAGATAAGGAGGTGATCAGGAGAATATTAGAACGTGCAAGAAATGAACAGATTAACACTAGCAATCTAGGAGAAAGAGCAAACTTGAATATTATAGGATATGGAAAATATTTTATCAATGGTTAGAGAATAAAAAAGGAATCTGGAAATGAGGAAGAATAAAAGAGAATAGCAAATGAAGATAGAGATACAAATAAGATGATGTCGATATATGTATGGTGGGAGGTCCCTTCTCTCTCACCTAGACCTCAGCTAGCACGCTGGCATCTCTAAACCATTCGATATAGGATGAAAGGCATGGAAGATTACTGTCATTTTTCACTACGATTTCAACTATGCAAAGAATAGGATATTAGATGTGTCTCGACGTAACTGTGAGTTACCTTGAGGATGCCTAATATAATCCAATAAAAGAAACTTTGTATGGAAGAATTTGTAGAGTTATCTACCTGTCTTGATATTCAGCAAGTGAACCAAAAGACAGAATAGGGGGTCTCACCTTGGTGGTTTCCACGCAGTCTCGAATGCAGTGGATGCTCATCTTCTCAATTTCCCCCATGTTCGGCTGGAGGATGATCTCAGGGGCGGACAAAATGGTCTCAGCTTGGAAGAGCGGAACATCCCCGACCACGGCGGCGTTGAAGGACTGCAAATTCCTTCCAAGACAGGAAAACAGTCAGAGGGAACAAACCACCAGAGACCGAAGAGGAATGAGAGGGAGGGGCAGATTTACTTTACTCCCAGCCTATCAAGTACTTAGGAGGCAAAGGCTGGGAAGCAGAAGGAAGCAGGGGTGAGCCACTGGGGGGTTCAGGAGAGCCCCAACTAAGATTCTGTGCAGTTTGGAGACCCCCCCCCCCAAATCCCACTCCTGGTTGGCTCCGCCCACCCCGCCCCGCCCCTCCCAGAAGTCCCCACACGGCCCATTTTGGATGCAGGTAAGTGCAGGGAGCGTGCGGAGCAGTGGTGGGATTCAAGTTTTTTTTTTTTACTACCGGTTCTGTGGGTGTGGCTCGGTGGGCGTGGCAGGGGAAGGATAACGTAAAATCCCCGGACAGGGGTGGGATTTGCTGGTTCTCCGAACTACTCAAAATTTCCGCTACTGGTTCTCCAGAACTGGTCAGAACCTGCTAGATACCACCTCTGGTGCAGAGGCCCAGGGAAGGCGAAAAAGCGGGCCTCCCAGAAGTTCGGGAAGGCCGGAAATGGGCCTGTTTCCGGGTTCCAAAGAGCCTCCGGAGCCTGGGAAGTGCAAAAATGACACGACCGCCCCACCCTGGTGCAGGAGGCCGACTAGGCCACGCCCACCCGGCCACCGGGCCGAGAACCCCTTGCTAAAATTTTTGAAGCCCTCCACCTCGGAAGGCTGAACCTCTGGTCCCGGTGTGACCTCCCCGGATTGGATCCCGCGGACTTACTTCAGAACCAAGTTGGTCAAGCTTTGGTAGATTTTCTTCTCCCAGAAGGCGTAATAGGCCGCGAGCCGCGAGGCTTTCCCTGTGTTGGTGTTCACCACCAGGCCTTCCATTTTGGTCAGCAGGGGCCCCACGGAGGTGTACTTGCGGACCAAGTGCTCCATGTCCCTGGCTCGCTCGCGCTTGACGAACTCGAAGTAATCCTTCACACCTGCCCAGGTGGGGAGACCGAAGGGAAGTCAAGGTAGGAACGGCTCAACGAGGGCGGTAAAAGTATAATTCCACCGGAAATGGCTTCGTTTGGTGGCGAGTATCTTGCTCGAATTCAGACAAAATTTACCTGCAAGGTGTTTCTGTCTGAGTTTACTCCATGTTGGGGAAATCTACAACTGGTTTGTAAAATCTACTTATTATGTTTATAAAGAAGTTAAATGAAGCCTCATCCGTCTGTGTTTATTTTTCTGGAGCTGAATTCACGCGACAAAACTCTGACTTACTTACTTACTTATTTATTTATTTATATGATCCCATAATCCCTTGCATCAGGGTGGAGTTGGGACAACTGAATGGAGCTGAGTTTTTTAACGGCCAGGTGCCCTTCCTGTCACCAGTACCGAGTTTTGTTCAGCAAATCATATTCTCATTGTGCCCCGAGAGAGAAACGTCTGCCTCTACCTAGGATCGAATTCACAGCCTCCTGATTGTGAGTTCGAGAGCTCCGCCTCTAGGCCACCGTACCACTCCTGTAGGACCTGCTTTATGACTGTCGCAATTTACAACTACCCATTCGTTCATCTCCACGGTTCAACTCAACTGGAGGCCACGCAGTTCGCGAGGGTGCCGTTTTGTAAGACGGCTCACATTTACGCCGTGGAGTTTTCCCCATTCCACTGAAAGGAACAAAACAAGGACCAAAGAATTGGCCAACCGACCTGGGAGATGCCCGTCTCCTTTGGAAGGAGGGCTTTTGAACAGGTTGGCCGATTCAATCAATCGAAGTTTATTATTGATGTCTTCGGCATTCTTGTGGATCTGATGCACAAGGGATTCAAACTTCCCAATGGCGTGGGTGCACCGTATAATATAGTCGCCAATCCCTGGGAAATAAAAGTCACTGGATCAGGCTCCACACCCTACGCAGGCGTGTTCGGGCTGGTGGTGTATCTGCGTGAGCGTGACAAGCTAACAATCAGAGGGTGAGAGAGTCGGGAGGGACCTTAGAGATCTTCCAGTCCAACCCCTGCTCAAGCAGACGAGTGCTTTAGACTTTAAGAGAGCTGACGTGGACAAGGAAAGAAAGAGCCTCGGAAGGATTCCACAGATGGATATCCCGAGAGGAAAATAATTCAACATGCTTGGGAAACTCTGAAAAACAACAAAGGAACAAGTAAAAATGATATAATAGGGAACAAAAAACGTACCATATTGACTCAGCCTCCCGTCCTTCCAAGGTGGGTAAAATGAGGACCCAGATTGTTGAGGGAAAGAGGCTGACTCTGTAAACCGCTTAGAGAGGGCTGGGAAGCACTGGGAAGTGGTATATAAGTCTAAGAGCTAAGTGGGAAGGAAGGAAGGAAGGAAGGAAGGAAGGAAGGAAGGAAGGAAGGAAGGGCCATGGTGGCGCAGTGGTTAGAATCCAGCACTGCAGGCTAACTCACTGCTCACAGTCACCAGTTCGATCTTGCCCGGCTGAAGGTTGACTCAGCCTTCCGTCCTTCCGAGGTGGATAAAATGACGACCCAGATTGTTGGCGGGGGGGCAAGAGGCTGACTCCGTAAACCGCTTAGAGGGGGCTGGGAAGCACTGGGATGTGGTATATTAAGTCTAAGTGCTATTGCTATATGACACCAGCGTGGTTGAACAAGGAGGAAGGAGATTTCCTGCTTAGGTGGGGAGGGCTGGACTAGATGACCTACAAGGTCCCTTCCAACTTTGATTATCGGAATCGGAATCCTGCTAGGAAGTTCGCGGGACATTTGTGTGGGTGAAAACACAGATACCTGCTCACAAGAGTAATTCAAGACCAGGTGGTCACATTTTTGTTCTATTTAAACGGTAGACCCTCTCCCCGTTCCCAGTGCTGACTCAGTGAAGTAGGTTACCTAAAGAGTTCCAGTTGAGCCTTTTGTAACCGGATCGGAAAACCCGCCAGAGGTCTTGCATGTGTTCGTCCAGGAGCTGCATCTCAGCCTCGTTCAAGGTCCCTACTAACTTGTGGTAGTGGTCCAGCATCTGCTTGATGTTATCCGTGTATCTGAGGCGCCAAGGGAACAGCGAAGAATTTAGACTTCCGCATTGGGCGATTTTAGCCACCGAGAAAACTACCTCAACTTACAACCACAAGGGGACCCCCACAAATTTCCACTGCTCAGCGAGACAGTGGCAAAGTGAACTCTGCCCCGCTGTGCGACCTTTCCTTGCCCCGGTTGTTAAGTGAAAAATCGCGGCAGTTATTAAGTTAGCGACACGGTTCCAAGGTCTATCTGGCTTCCCTGCTGACTTTGCTCGTCAGAAGGCTGCGAAAAGGGGAATTGCGTGACCCCGGGAAACCCTGCAACCGTCGTATGTACGAGTCAGCTGCCAGGCAGCTGAATTTTAATCATGTGACCACGGGGATGCCGCAACGGTCGTAAGCGTGGAAAATGGTCATAAGCGGCTGCTTTTCAGTGGGCCGTTGTAACTCTGAGTGGTCGTTAAATGAATGGTGGTATCCGTGGCCTTTTTTTTGCTGGGCCCCAGAGCTTGCGCTAAGAGACAGGATTATGATTTTTCCAATCATTTTCCTAAAGAGGCATATTGGTGCTCAGAGAAGCTTCATAGGCCTAGCTGTGCCTTTCGAAAGAATAGAATAGAATAAAATAGAGTAACAAAGTTGGAAGGGACCTTAGAGGTCTTCTAGTCCAACCCACTGCCCAAGCAGGGGACCCGATACCCTTTCAGACAAATGGTTATCCAATCTCTTCTTTAAAACTTCCAATTTTGGAGAATTCACAGCTTCTGGAGGCAGGTTGCCCCACTGGTTAATTGTTCTGTCAGAAATTTTTTTTCTTAATTCTAGGTTGCTTCTCTCCTGGATTAGCTTTTACCTATTGCTTCTTGTCTTGCCTTCTGGTGCTTTGGAGAATAGCTTGACTCCCTCTTCTTTGGGGCAGCCCCTCAAATATAGGAAGACTGCTATCATGTCACCCCAAATCCCTTTTTTCCCATCAAACTAGACATGCTCAGTTCCAGCAACTGTTCTTAATAGGTTTTACCCTCCAGTCTTTTGGAAGAGCCTTATAGCTCCCGCTGCCTTAAGAAGGTTCAAAACATTCTCATCCTGGGAACACTTTTTTTGAACTGTTACCATCTGGCAGACGGTACAGGTTAACAATAAAAACAAGGACAAATAGGCTGAAAAATAGCTTCTATCCCAGGGCAGGAGCTCTTTTGAATTCTATTGTATATAGTGCAATATGAATGCAATATCGGGGTTTTCAATTCAGTGTGTGGAGTGGGAAGGATTTGTGTTTGTGTTTATTTTCATGGTCATGATGTGCACTGAAGACGGTGTTCGATTTCGTTGTACGAGGTGCAATGACAATGAAGTAAACTAAACTAAACAGTCTCCTAATCATCTCTGTTGATTAAATGTTTTTAAGAGAAGGAACAGCAGACGTGACCCGTAATGAGGCCAAGTCCTCCATCCTTACCGCAGAAATTTGTCTTCCTGCAAAGCCACATTCCTCGCAATTTCGGGCACGGGGAATCCCAGGTGCTCCATGTACTTGGTTTCGTTGATGATCTCCCGAAGGACGGGCGAAAAGTTGACCACGAAACGTGTCGACTTCTCACTGGTGGTTTCCACCTCCTCTGAACGTACGCTCTGCGAGGGAGAAGATCGAGTTAAGACAATTTATGTAATTTTCTCTTTACATATGGTAAGTAAAACTCAATGTAAACCACTCCCTCCCTGGGGACACAAAGAGAGTTGACGTCCAGAAAGAATTCTACTCACCGGATCTGGAGCCTCTGGGCTTGACTGAACGATCATCCCAGTCAGATGAACTCTAGCAAGGAGAGTTTTTTTCAACAGAACTGGAAGCCTTTCTTCGGTGGTGTTTCTCCACTGGTCGTACTTCACATCTTCGTATTCTTTCATCCTCTTTGCCACCTCCAGGTATTTTTGCTTCACCTGAAACAGACACGAAAAAACTACAAGGATCTTCCTCGAAAGGTTTTTCCCCCCCTTTCCCACCGATATTTGGGCACACAAAAGGCGATTCTGTTGTTAGTCGCGAAATTATGTCCGACCCATCGGACAATATTCCTCCAGGCCTTTCTGTCCTCTACCATCTTCTGAAGTCCGTTTGAGCTCACGCCGACTGCTTCAGGGACTCCCTCCATCCACCTCCTTCTCTGCCATCCTCCTCCTCCTCCTCCTCCTCCTCCTCCTTCTTTTGCAGCAAATCCTTCCTCCTCATTAGGTGTCCAAAGTCTTTGGATTTCATCTTCAGGATCTGGCCTTCTAAAGAGCAGTCAGGGTTGATCTCCCCTAGGACTGACCAGTTGGATCGCCTTGCCATCCAAGGGATTCACAAGAGCCTCCTCCAGCCCCAGAGTTCAAAGGCCTCCATTCTTGGGCACTCAGCCTTCCATATGGCCCCAACTTTCACAAGGCACTCCCAAAATTTAGGTGTCCATCCTAAAAATCTCTACAGCCTGCTCTTTGATTCCCAAAGAAACAGATTTTTAAAAAATAATGCTCTACCTTCAAGGCCAACTCCGAAACGTAGGAGTTATCCAGCTATTCAAGAACAAAACCAGGTGATACAAATACTTATTATTTATAACTTCAGGTAGTCCTCGACTTATAACTATTCCTGCAGTGACCATTCGAAGTGGCAGTGGAACTGCAAAATGTGACTTATGACTGGTCCTTGTGCTTATGACTGCAGCAACATCCCGATGGCCACAGGACCAAAATTGGGGCACTTGGCAAGGGCCACGTATTCACTCAGTCATCCTCTGAGACCTTCCCAGGTGGCTTCCAACAAAGCAAAGTCCATGGGAGGGGGAAACCAGATCCGCTTAATGACTTCATGATTCTCTTAACAATGGCAGTGATTTGCCGAACGACCATGGGAAGAAAAATAATCCTAAAGTCAGGCGTCCTTGCTTAGCGACCGCCTTGTTTAGCCACGGAAATTCTGGTCCCCCAAATTGGGGTCGTTAAGTCGAGGACGTAAGTCAGGTAGCAACAGGATTCCGGCTCACCTCCTTTCCGCGTTCGCTAGCCAGCAGTTCTTCCACTTCCTGGAAGCGAATGATGGTGTGCTTGATACGGTAGAAGAGAGACCGCGCCCAGTAAATGGCTCCGGCCATCGGAGGGTGGTTCTTGCACAAAGGGGGACTGGTGAGGTTGTTGACAAAAATGCCATTGACGATCTCGAGCTGTGGAGGAAGAAGAGCAAACGGGAAAGAGGCACGTTAGCGTTCCGACTCCCGACGGCCCCGGGCCCACTCAGCTGCCACAACCCCGGGAAGAAGGGGGCTCTGCGGAATTCGTTCACGCGAGGAAGGGGGGAACCCTCGGGATCACCTCCTTGCAATACTGCGCCAGGATATCGTTGAATTTCATCATCATCTGTTTGTTGATGGCCTCCCGGGAACGGATGTGCTTGAAGTTCAACAGCATGTCAAAGGCTGCTTCGGCGGAGCGGAGGGTCTTGAAGGACTCGTCGATGAAGTTCTTGGCTTCTTTCTCGATGTCCTGGAAGCCAAGGAGGGCGAGTTCAGAGGAACAGAAAGAAGGCAGATAAAGAGGAAACAGCCAGGAGGAGGCAGAGGAGGAAGGAGGAGGGGATGAAGAAAGAGGAGATGAAAAAAGAGAAGAGAAGGAGGAGGAGGAGGAAAGAGAGGGAGGAGGAAGAAATGAAGGAGGAGATGAAGAAGGAGGAGAAATAAGAATAAGAACAAGAGGAGGAGGAAGAGGAGGAGGAAGAGAGGATGGAGGAGGAGAAATAAGAATAAGAGGAGATGGAGGAGGAGGAGGAGGAGGAGGAGATGAAGAAGGAAGAGAGGAAGAGGAGAAAGAGAGGAAGGAGAAGGAGGAAACGAAGGAGGAGATGAAGGAGGAGGAGGAAGAATAAGAACAAGAGGAGAAGGAGGAGGAGAGAAAGGAGGAGAAGTAAGAATACAAATAAGAGGAGGACTTCTGCTACTTACTACAACTTCCAACTTGAACTCTTCCATCACTGCCTTCCACTGGTTTACACTTCTGAGGTTGAACGGGTCAAAGGTCAGAGCTTCCATTGGGCTGACCAGGCTGTCTACTCGGTACAAGACTTCGTCGATGCGCTTGGGGTCTCCCGTCACGGCTTTCAGTTCAGGCCCAAAGATGTTGTAAAATTCCTCCATGACCTGTTGGGTTAGATCAGGCGTGGGGAACCTTGGGCCTCCGGCTCAGAAAATTCTGGGAGCTGAAGTCCACAAGTCCTAAGAGAGCCATGGAGCCCCACCGCTGGCTTAGAGGGAAGCGGGGGTTAACTTCTAGCTCCTTTGGGAGCATTTATTTGGCTTATGCCATTCTCCTTCCCCACTCCGACATCTTTGTGCCTGTTGTTACCTGCAACACGTTGTAGAGGTCCTGACAGATGAAAGCCATGTAGTCCGTCTTTTCAAACAGCCGCTTCCGATCAAATTCCCACCGAGCGTCTCTTCCTGACGCTTCGATTTTGGCCCGGATATCGAAATACGATTCCTTCCAGATTTCAAGAGTTCGCTTAGCTTCTACCATCTTGATTTTTGCCAGATGCCTGTCTTCTCTGGAGTCCATCAAAGAACAGAGGGGAGGAAGAGGAAAAGGAGGAGGAGGAAGGAGAAGGAGGAGGAGGAGGAGGAGGAGGAGGAGGAGGAGGAGGAGGAGGAGGAGGAGGAGGAAGAAGAAGAAGAAGAAGAAGAAGAAGAAGAAGAAGAAGAAGAAGA